ATACTAGATCGCAAAGTCTGGTATGGTTCATTCGCCACTCATGAACGAACGTGTATCACACTCAACAGTTGGACTTTCGACCACTCGTCCATCGAGACGGTCAAGGTAATATTATAGACAAATAGATTCTTTTGTTTATTAACTTGGTGCTGGACGATTGCAGTCATTTCGACGTTCTACAAGAAAGTTTTGTGTATGCTTATTACGTACTATGTCGTGGAGAACCTAATGGGTTACTGGGGCGCCGGCTCGACGTGCAGGAGAAGGAACGGGGTAGTTTTTAGTCAGTAAGAGTCTGACACTCCCTCCCGCCTCACCCAGGCGAGAGCAGCCATTCGATGATTTTCCCCCCTTAAAAAAAATGCTTACGTGCTATGTAATTTAATATCTACGATTGGTAAATTGTTCTATTCACCTTGAAGATATTCTTTTTACATTAATTTTTTTAAAACTTCTTAGTTTAATTAACATTGTAATATTATGCTTAGTGTGAAGGGGTGGGCAAAAGTTTCATCAATACATTCACCTATTGTTTTATTTATTTTTTATGGAATAAGAGGCAAACGGGCAGACAGATCACCTGATGGTAAGCGATCAGCGCCGCCCATGGACAATTGGACACCCACAACACTAGAGGAGGCACAAGTGCGTTGCCGGCATTTTATAAAGGAATACGCTCTTTTCTTGAAGGTTTGAAGGTCGTATCGATTCGGAAATACCGCCGACGACAAATCATTCCAGTTTTTTTTTTGTTTAAACAGTACTAGTCCATTTAAAGTACCCGGCGCCCTTGTAGGTAACCTCTTCTGGACTTATGGGTTCTGGGTCTATGGCGCTAACCTGACATCAGATAATTCCCTACTATTGAGTTCCTAAAATAAAAAAAATAATAATAGGTAGGTACTTTACAGGACTTGTTACCAAGGCATTCTGATTTACATAACAGTTACTTAAGTATCTGTAAAAATAATTACCACCTGTAATATGTTATTTTCAAGTAAAATAGAGGCGGGTCAAGTAACTTTTAATTGTCTTTAACGTTTTATAGCAATGATAGACTAATTAATGAGTATAGACACATACTCAAGTACTAATGAAGACGATTTATAGAAATACGGGCCCCGTATTGCTTATGTGAGCCTGGTAGATATTTATTGTGGATGGGATTTTCTAAGACCACCGTTAACAGCTAGGCGTCAAGAAATATTTATGACACAGTCATCTAGGGGAATCTATTTAATTGAATGACTAGGTCGAACGTTGATTGAACTTGAAACTCATCCGAAAACGAAACTGAACATTCGGTCAGACACAACAATCTTCCAATGACTTCTCCCGCCTTAGGTGAGGCGAAAGTTTACACTACAGTTTACAGACTAAAAACCACCCCGTTCCTACTCATGCTCTTCGAGCCGGAACTCCGGTAACCCGTTAAGTTGTCCGCAGCTCTGGGTGCTTACTCTTGAAACCAATCTCAATATCAATGCAATTTCTATCCAATTACATCTCAATAATTATTCTATGTCAAAACTATACAACCCCTATCGTAGCTGTTAAATTAGCTTTCAGAGTACAGAATATAAAGCCAATCTCAATACCATTTAGTTCATTTAATATCCACGAATACGGATACAATGGGCGCTAGCGTTGCAACTCGAGAATTTCACAATACCAATGTCGATCGATCGGATTTGGATTCAAGAGGAAGCCCCCTGGACCCGGTATCAACCCTACTTAGTACCGAGTCGTAGGCTCATTGAGTGGTCTTAGTGGCTTTTTAATTTTCGATCAGAGTCTAAGGTACTACTAAGGCAGACTATTACCTACGTTTAATTGCCTATTTGTCAATAACCCAGTTGTCGAAACTAGGTGATGGCAGGGTGTCTGCGTCGTAAAATAAAGGAAACAATAAAACAAGGTATTTTTATGTAATTTCCTGTGTATTTCTAACATATTAGTTTTATACACTACTTCATTATTTACATGAGCATTATCGCTTCACAATATTATTACAATTAAAATATTTTTCTCTCTTTATTTATATTATTTATACATTTTTTATTTCACCTATTCTTAGGCAAAGTGACAAAACTTCTCGCATATCAAAAAGCATTAGAAAAAAATACTGTTTTTTTTATATTTTAAAAATAGAATCTACATAGGAGCGGGCCCTGGTTTATAGTTTGAGCGACACAGATGGCGCTTGAAAGGCATTCGCGAAGTAGAGAACAAAGATAATTTAGTTAGAGCTTATATTATGATTAATCTTCAAGTCAGACTAGCGGAAACTGTCCAGAACGTAGGTATATTGAAGGTCACATCACAGCCAATCATAACAATTTCCGATTTGTTTTTATATATTTCATCTCCTTATAATTTATTCACGCGTCATAATACCATTGTCACCTCTTCCGCTTGTAGCGATACGAAACGACAACCAGCGTTATGAAGTCTCACATATCATAATTATGGATATTTTTAGTAATTCTTACAGGTACAGTTTACTTCAAAGGAATATTTTCTTTTTCAATAACTACCATATTGAAAGATTTGGCCCAGTTTTTGTTGTGTTCGAAAGGTCGTATGTAGGTAGGTAAGGTACAGTCAAAAATTAAAAATATTCATGCAAAAATATCTTTTAGAAAGTGACAATATTGCACTATAATTAATTAGATTTTAAAGCTCGATTTGTAATAATGATTGTAATTTAGATCATTTTTTAAATGAATATCTTTCCCGGAGCTCACAGGTAGGCGTAATAAATAAATAAACTCATAACGAAGACAGAAAAACTAGAATAATTAAATGCTTATATGAACAAGAATGCTACAAAGTTACCAGGCATTCAAGAGTCAGAAATGGATTACAAATTCTCTTCACTTACTTAAAAGCAGAATATTACACTCTGTCCCTAATTACGCCCTCGTCAATCTTTTAACATATTATGCTGTCCTAGTGACAATAAATAAATTAACTGCATCTACAGTTCTTCAACAATAACAGCTAAAGTTGGCACAGGTCAAGGATAATCGTGAACCCATCTATCGCCATTCTTCGATTCTATTGTCCATTAAGTAAAATTAAATATTAAAACTGTAGTAACAATAATATTATTGTATGACGTTATTCGCGATCTCAATATCTCTTATTAATTAAACTTACGTCAATTTACCAAATATTCTGGTTTATAAACTAAATATTGCGATTACTATTTTTCATATTTCAACATTGCCATGAAAAAGCCAAAGCTAATTCAAGGGTGCCATTTATATTAAGATCGCGAATCATTCTAGCTGTCAACATTATCTGTAACAAAACAAATGGTTGAATTTTGTACATAACATTGATAGAACAGACTTATAAGTTCAATTTGCGACTCGAACATTTACTATAACAATTCCCTTATATCAGTTAGTAGGCACACAGTGAGGACGGCCACGAGGCCCAAGCAACCCGAAGAGACCTGCGTCCAGCGACCAGGACCACATAACTAATAAGAGCTCGCGCGGTCGCATGGCTAACGAACTAAACCAAAATGAACTAACAAATAGTGCTATTTCATCTCGCGGTACTGTAAATAAAACGTTTGAGCAGGACAGCACGATAACCTAAATGTTCTTTTTAACTTCCCCTCAACTTCAGGTCTCCGGGTGCAATGCCCACTTTTATCACAAAAGGTGTTAAAGTACATATTGCATTACGCGACAAATATAAGCCACATATTTATTTATTAGCTAATTAATTCCAATATGTCCATTATTGACATTATACACAACTGTTAGAAATTGACAACACCTAAAGAGGTCTTTGTACAGAGTTTCCATAACTACGGTACCTAACTGCACACATCACAGATATAGAAAAAATAAACTTTATTCCTGTTAGTTCTATACATAACAAGTACACTTTAGCCTAAACCTATAGTTCACAAAGAGGGAATCTTTTACATCGTAGGTCTATTGAACCAGATTTACTTACTATCGTATAAACTGGGGTTATTGATGTTTGTGATAAGCTTAGCTTCGCAGCGCTTACTGACACCCAGAACGTACAGTAAATATACTCTAATATGTATACATAATAAGACATGATTAACAACACATGGACGCATTTCGCTAAGCTAAATGATATAAAACGTGCCGCACTCTTCCTGCCACTCTCTCGTAGGCATCCGCTCCGAAATATCTCGATTCTACACAAACTTGCTTCTCGTATTGACTTTAAATAAATAAAAGTTAATAAATATTTTTACATCCATTCAAGTTATTGTTCAATTCGATCACATTGCAAAACTTTACTTTATTAGTAGAAAAATATGACGCGGATCATTCTGTTGTTGATATCCACTATTGTCCATCACTATTTGTCACTTTGCTATCACCGTCTTTGAAATACATGGCCACTGTCTTGTGGCCAAATATACATTCGCGCGCTCTTAACATAAGACGCGCGACCCGCGTTCCTGACACACATCGGGCGGCTACTCATCTCTTTCGCACATATTATTACAACTTGTAGTGTGACAGGGACGTCAATACCGACATCCCACCCGTGCACCCGTCTCATGTTCACAAGGAATGGTTCATCGTCACATCCAGGTGAGGTAGACGAACTTACTGACACTGTATTTACTTCCTGTTTCAAAGTTCGGTGATCGTCCGGGAAATTACTGGATAATTTATTGTTGGCAGTGAATGACAATCCCAGCCATCTGTGGTAGCGCACACTAGCGATACTTCCTTTTCATATTTTCACACCTTCACGGGTTATCAAAACTGAATTTACAAGTTCAGTTTGCAGGTTCGCTAGCTAGACGCTTCAGCAGTCTCTTGATCTTGACATATCGGGTTTGAAGCACAAGTATTGTGTCAAAGTACCAGACGGTCATAGCGGCCAGGTGGTGGGTCGGAGACCCGGGGCTAGAGAAGCGCCAGCGCACTGCGCGGAGAGCGGCGCGGGGCGCGCGGACGGCGCGGGCGGCGCGCGCGGACGGCCGACCCTCACGAGGGGGGCGCGTGCGGGGGCGCGGCGCCCGCCGCAGACACCACCACCACGGGCTTCACGATCGTCGTCGCGCTCAGGTACTGCGCGCTCACCGTCAGCGGAGCCACCGTGCCCTTCACCATTTGAGTCTCAACCATCTGCAAATTAACATTTATAAATGACATAAACTATTGGCGAAGAATCTATAAGGTACATATTTTAGGATATTGGGTTTTTGTTAAAAAACTGCAAACCTCCAAAGTGGTCAGTATGTTATGCCATTGATAACTTAATCACGAAGCGCAAAATTCAGTAGCCAAACCTCTTTCCTGGGAATAAGTAGGAGGTAGGACTAACACAATGGTCAATTCCTTGTATGAAACCAGCACGAGCCACGTAGAACAGAGGGAATATACTCTACTCCAATGGTTCATCAAGTCCTCTGAAGAGCCCAACGATTAAGCAGACATAACTCATGCCATAATTGTACATTTTCCACGATAAAATAGCTGAATTTAGTTCCCAAAAACGGCGTTTTCATAACTTTGTTTAAAAAGCCAATTGGCGTATCCATCAACAGCGTTTAGTACAGAATGTACACCTCACTGATTTAACAACTAAAAACTAGGCCTAAAAATAAGGGATACCTAACGTATTTAATGAAACCTCATGAATCCAGTCTATTAGTCGTAATTTAGTATAATAGTTGAATTCGTATTTACCTCTAGGAAATTAATATACGAGTTATCAATGTGTCTCGGGGAGGCCGCGTGCAGCGCGGGGTGCGCCGGCCGAAGGTACGGGTGTGACGGGCCGCGCGACGCTCGCACCGCCCGCGAGTCTTTACACGTCTTCTCCTTTATATCAACAATACGCCAATTTTCAAACAAATACAGGAATAGGGACACTTCTTTTTTGAGAACAATTCGCGAAATTGTTTATATATATAAAAAATTTTGGGCCACTTAGGGTTTGCAGTTAATTTAACAAAGATCCTGTTTAGAGTCTAAATGGAATAAGAAAAGTTTCTGAATTCAATTTTGAATTGAAATTGCAGCAAGAACATTATTTTTTTAATAAAGGCCGTACAAGAAATTTGCCAGAAAATAGGCCAAAATATACGCAAAAAGGCCATAGGCACCTGTAGTGACATAATCTGTGGATATTTACCTTATGGGTAAGTGTGTGCGTCTGTAACAAATGCGTGGCGGGTTGCGATACTACTAGAGGAGTCAGTCCACTCACGACCACGCTGCCATCTGGAATAAGTGATTATCTTTATAAGTATAACATACATATTTTACTTGTGACATTTCATCTTTCGCGTATAATTGATATTTCCTTAATCAAAAATAATAACTTATTTCGACTGTTCAATACAATAAAATAAAATAAAAAAACACTTTCATTAATTGATTTTATGACCAACTTAATTTTAGTATTATTCCAGCAAATTTTAAAGAAATAAGTATACTGTTTGACGCTTAAAAACGTGACGTCACAATACACAATCTCGTACAAAATTCATATTATATAAACTGTCATTTTTGACAGTTCCATAAATGTATTGAATTTGACTAGTTGGCAAGTACCCAACTAAAAACTACCGCAAAGTTAAGTTCGACGGTCCAATAATTTTGCCGTCACCACTCGACACTGGCAGTATAGTCGACAACACCATTTTGGAGACTCGGTTGCCAAAGAAGAAAAAAAAAAGTACCCAATTCTAATTTTTACTAATATTAACATTCGAAAGTTTGTGCTTTTGTGATTGTGTGTGTTTGTTATGCTATAAAGTCAAAACAGCTGAAGAGTTCAGCACATGAAACAGTGGTATATGATGGACTGAGATGACAAATAGACTGCTTTTATCCCACGGGGCCACGGGCAAAGTCGTTGGCATAGACTACTAAAGTAATAGGTACAAACCTGCAGTCGTGGAGACAGGAGTCGGGGATATGATGCCGTTCTCTTTAGTTATCCTAGTAGTAGTGGTTTCAACGGTCGTAGTTGTTACACCTGCCAACCAAATGTATCTTTCATCAGATCAGAATCCAACTTCTTGCAAACTTTTTAGAAAAAATCATGCCATCTCTTTACCGAATTGTCGAATTGAACTGAAGTAACATAGACAACTGGTGAATACTGAATTTACTGTGAATGCACTTCTCCCTTCATGGGAAAACAAGTACTACATTATGTTAACCTAAGTACAACATTACAAAATTAACTGTATCGGACCCAAAATGCTTCCTTGTGAAACACCCTAAAATTTATTTATTGAAGACTAGCTGTTCCTCGTGACTTCATCCGCGTAGAATAATAACTTCTAGCAGAACTTAGTTTTTCTATATAACAACATAACATAATGTAACATCACGCCTTTTACCCCCGAAGGGGTAGGCAGAGGTGCACACAGAAGTATATATAACAACGTAAGATAGAACAACGTACGCAATATAACGTTATTTTGGTAGATTTTTCATACATCGGAATACATTATCGAAATTTTTACACGGTTCTGTTCTCTTTCTCCCTTTTCAAATATAGCCTATGTTCATCTTGGATAATGTAGATTTCCAATGGTAAAAGATTTTTAAAATGGGCCAGTAGTATCGGAGCCTATTAAATTCAAACAAACAAACAAAAATCAAATTTTATCTTTCTTTCGTCTCTATAATATTAGTGTAGAAGAAGAAAGAGTAGCAATTTCACTTTCCTTTACATTCAAAGTACCAGGGCAACATAACTCACCGTTGGTATGTACGGGCGTTTGTAGAACACGGAGTCCGCTGGTTGTTGATAACAGCTGTAGAGCCGTTGAACCTACGACCAAACCACTGCTCCCAACAACCTATGAAAATAAAATAAAAATTTTAAAATCTTCTATAGAGGTGTGCTAATTAATATTTTTGTTAAAATGTTAAGAATGTCAAATTATGAATTCTTATTGACACCTAATATGACATAGCAAACTTATTAATATTAATAAATTACCGTATCTGAGAACCGTTACAAACAAATTATTATTTATGCTTTTGTTTAACGGTATAAAATCGCTATCGACTGTATAATATCATACGTCTTCTACTCTATAATCCCAAACGTAGGAAATGATGCAATTATTGAGTGTATTATGATTTCTGTATTCCTGATACATATTATCCACTTTTCTACACTTTTTATTATTAATTTTCTTGGCTTTCATTTTCAAAGGACTTCAAAAAAAGGAGGATATCCGTTTGTTTGCGTGATTAACTCGCGATTGACTGAATAGATTTTGATGATTTTCCGAAAAGTGTTTCCGAAAATCAAGAAGAAAAAAGAAGAAAGTTTTAGTATTTATTTTATTTATTTTTTTATTTTAAAAGACTTCATGCGCACACTAATGTACAAGGTGGGCTTAATGCCATGGGCATTCTCCTCCAGCCACACTTTTGGGTGATGCAGAGACAAAAACAATGGTCGATGCAAGAAGCAAGCGTATTTAAGACTCAACAGGCTATTTACCCGGCTTCAGAAAAAAGAGGGGGCTTGAAGTTGGTTTTTTTAAACACATGTTATAAAAAAATTGACGTGGATAACATGGAAAAATAATTGTCTTATCTATATCAAAAGCAGATTACTTAATGATGATGAAACAATGCTCAGTTTTTCAGTATTGATTGAAATTATTCAATTTTACGGTGTTATTTCACAATAACAAAGAAATGTTTTACCTGCGATAAGGGTAGATGTATTTGAGCTGGATGTACTAAGGTGCTAAGCGCATTCGTCACACCGTTTTCAACAGGTTGCCCATTCTGTAACAATGAAAAAAGTAATAAAATTAATCATTTATATTGCCTTTGCCTCGTTGGCTGAGTGATCGCAAGTGCGACTGCCGGGCAAGGGGTCTTGGGTTCGATTCCCGGGTCGGGCAAAGTATTACTGGGTTTTTACAAAATTCTCAGTAGTAGCACGGAGTCTGGAATTGTGCCCGGTATATGGCAATAGGCTCACCCGCTATTACATGGGACTCATAACATAAATAGTGAAAAGTGGGTGTTACATTGTACAGTGGCATATGTGCACCTCTGCCTACCCCTTCGGGGATAAAAGGCGTGATGTTATGTTATGTTATTGCCTTTGCCTTACAGTAGGACGATCACGGCTGAAAATAAAATAAATAATATTGACTGACATAACTTATACCTAATCCTCATTTCAATGGGCATACATGACAACTGCCCTTAAATGTTCACTGATGGCTGTTGGCCTCTTCTACATATGAGGACGGCAGTTGAAAGAGGTTAAAATTTCTCAGAGAACAGGGTCTCTATCAAATGTAGTCTGCTCTTACGACATACAAAAACATAGGGGCATAATAAATGAACACAGGGCTAACGGCTACATAATATCAAGGTGTAAACTTAAGTATCATGACATATCAATTACACTTTCACAGTAATTAATCATTACTATGCGTCCTACAGTGACTAAAATTAACTTACAACCAATTTGGCCACCCGAAATTAAGGAACGTGTTTCTAATTTAATCTAAGTAATATATTGTCATTCATAAATGCGTCATACGCATATATTAAAATATCTGCTGACGTCTGTCTTCGATGCTGAAGCAACTTCATGATCCATTCGAGCGTTCACATGATCTTGCTGATAACTCCAAGGTGAGTAAATCATACCAATCTCAAACCCTGACCTTATTATTTTTAAAACGAGAAAGGGAAAACACATGACGTATGTTATATAACATTGTATTAAACCACACAGGTTACACATGTTATTTTGCCTCACTTAAAATAGGCGACTATTGTTCACAAAGAGTTTAGGTACTAACAATATTACCTATGTGTACAATAATGTATGACTCATACATTTGACATTTGGAACACGCAAAATTTCAGTCTAAAATTAACGCGCATTTTATATTCGGAATCATTGCTGTAGATGCGCATTTCACTATTTATTATATGCCTTTTGTAAAGTTAGTTAAGATTCAAAACTATTCATACAAGTTGAATGTCATTCAAGGTCAGTTTTACTAAAACGGTTCTTTGTTAAATTGTTATTTGTGGTATTACACTGAACTCATCAGCATAATTATATTGTGTTCTAGAGGCCTGTTTTCAGCAGTGCATGGACGTCTTTGAGGCTAATATTATGATTTTGATAGTAACCTACAAATGGTATGGTACTGTTCAAGTTACTGAGATATTGGTTAATCAATTTTTTTTGTATTCAACTAAGCAAATTAAATTTCTATTTCCAAGTTTCATAGGATAAAAATATTCAAATAAGTCGCACGAAATGCTCAAACCACTTCGTATCCTGCTCGTAACCCTAACTTTTTTAACAAAGAGCTTTATTTACACCACAGTCTTCGTATGAGGAAAATCATTTTACAGGAGACGGAAACTCGAAAATAAACAGCTGTATCAAGTAAAAAAATATTAACCTGAGTGGGAGGTTCTGCCGGCGCAAGCGTAGTAAGCGTCAGCGTACTAGGCCTCGCACCGTACGATGTCCGTACAACCTGAAATAATTAATTACAAAAATAATTTTAGTATTTACACACATCCAAAGTGAGTTAAACAAAAAAAAACGTAAAAACTTGGATTAGAACCGAAGTTCAACAGAGTAACACAAATCTTAATCCAAGATTAGGTCAGCTCTAATTTCTAACATTGTACTAGGCGATCATACCTGCGAGGTGGTGGGCGTGATTTGTATGGGCAGCGTACGCAACTTCGTGCTTAGGTTTAGAGTGCGGGGAGGAGACGTCTCCATTCGTGCGACGGAACGCGGTGGCGACGCTGATATCTGAAATTAGGGCAACAAATTATTTACTTGACCTTGTCGGTTTTGTATGTCGAATGAGCAAAATAATATTATCAAAAATATAATTTGTTATTAATAAAAGTGAAGAGAAATACTTACACTTATAGGAATTCCTAAAACTTGCCCATTTACAGGATCTTCTGTATTCTTTTCTTCCGTAACAGCATCTGCGATTTTAATTAAAATTGATAAAATATTTTGCAAAAAAAGGTTCGAAAATATACAAAACGCATGATTTTACTTTTTCGTGCGGTACTTTTAATTATTGCAGTAATAAATTAATGAACGGTACTTTAATTAATTAATCTGAGACTTTTTCAAATCAATAAATTAATCCTATTTAATAAAAATTGCACTGAAATCAAATAAATATTAAATAATCTCGACCAAATGTACCAGGCGTACATAACAAGATAGGAGGTTAACGCACCAATACTCCGAGGGCGAACAGTTGTTCGAACCGAGATCTCTCTTTTCAAGGCGGAGAGCCTCTGTTGCGCTGCGATTTTCTCACGAGCCAGTCGTTCCATTTCGTGCTCACAATCGCGTTCCTTACGACGAAGAACCTGTAGACAAAATACCAAGATGACTTAACTAAAAAATGCCTCATACTCTCGTAATTAACTTAAATGAAAAAGAAAAATTTTGTCCATGTCAACTCAATTTTTATAAGAATTTATATAAAAAATACAGTAAAGATTTTTTGCATGACCATTATTGAAATATCTTTTTATATGATACATGGGAATATGACGATAATGAAAAGAAGTAGGTAAGTCTTTGTAATTAATTAGTAAATTAAACTTTGACAAGTCGGAAATAAATACTACATTTGTTAGACAACTTTACTATTTCACAACATGCTATAATTTATTCATTTCAAAGAAAGCCACAGTTACAGAGTTACCCATGAATTAAAAATTAAAATATGTAATAAAAAATGTGACAACGTGATGGCGTAAAGCCTATCCTTGGACATCCGTTGTCAAGCACGAGCTACCTTATCCATATGTAGGAAAATTACTATTATGAATCAAGGGGATGCATACTTTGCATTGATGCATAAATAAATACCGCATGCATGTTTAATAATACAAGTAAGCGCGTGTAGTATCTCATATAGTTCAAATACAATTTAAATTGCGTATTCAGTAAATTGAGGTTAATAACAAGAGAGATGATTTTATTTATTGCGCAATTTCAGTAGGTAACAAATTTTACAAAATTAATATTGTGTCGTTTTATTCAGGGTAAATAGAAGTTAAATTGAGATTAGGCGAAATTCCATTAAAGTTTAAGTATTTTGTTTACTAATTGATCGTCCACAACACCACACCCATAAATCCGAAGGTGTAAGTTGATCAGTCAAACTAGTATTCATTTAAAATGCTAAAAATAGACATGTTTTGATTGATGATTTTAATGAATCCGTTTAATCCAACTAATGATAATATGGCACGAAGGCCATCGACATTGGTTTCAAAGGCGTTCGCTACTAGGAAAGCAGCGCGGCAAAGAGGTTGATACAAACCTGAATATATCTAATAGCGGAGCCCAGTATAGAAAGATTGGAAGTTTTCTTGTCATCGGGAGTGGCTGGCAGCTGTCTTTTGAGGAGTTCGAAGCACTCTTTGAGGTGTGCTCGTCTGTTCTTCTCCAGTTTGTTGTGGACCTCTCTCGTGCCCGCACGAGGGGCACTTCCACTGCTACCACTGCCACTGCCGTTGCTGCAGCCGCTACCGCTGCCGTTGCTGCTAACCGATGGAGGTGAAGGAATTGGAGGTGGGCTGTTGACAATGAAATTAATACTATTTTTATCACGAAGTTTTTGAACATATACTTATAAACATCATCATTTACGCTTTTCCTTCCCAAATCTCGCGACATCGTCACCTGATTCGTATTGCAGCCACGTAATGCATTCATAACGTCATGTGTTTGTATTTCATGTATGTAACCAATTTGCGCAATCCACTAATCACGCGGTTATAATGCGCAATAATTTCACTAAAATGTTTATTTCTTTAATGTTAATAACCATCATGGATACAAGTATGGTTTCGTGCTAATGATGTTCGTTGGCTTCAAAGAACTTGTTATATCGTATGATAAAATGACGTACAATAATGATATTATCTTGAGAGAGCGTCGTAATAATTGTAATGTAACTTAGTCAGCGATTCAGTAAACAAGGAAACTAGACAACCAGCGTGGCAGCGTGGCAGCCGCTAGTTCGTGTCATAGCTCTGATGATAATTGCGTTGTATTTATGATTAGCACAAACATAACTTTGTCTGGATTATTCCATTACCTATTTCATAATAATTATGTAAGTAAATTGACTAAACAGTTATCTGTGTACTTTTAAAATTGTTCAATTACCTAGTAAGAAATGAATTAGGTAGGTCTTTTCATTTAAGCACGATAAATTAATATTACTTGACTAGACCTAGTAATATTAGTTATTGATCAATAAGTAGGTATAGGTAACACTATTTTAAAGTACTTCACATTTCGCAAAATATTAATTTTATTAAGAATAACATATTCATTACCAAAACAAGTTCAAGCTTAGGACTGACGTCAGCGAAGATCGAATTTTTAAAATCTCGCAAAAAAAAAATTAGGTTGAAGAGCACGTAGAAAAAAATGCTGATCGAAATCGTTCATTATAGGTACCTATCAGATATAATTATGTATGACATAACAATACAATGACATTACACCGGATATAGTTCGCTGTATTAATAGATCGACAATGTTTTCCCTCATCGATGACAGATGAGACAAATCTAGATGACATGACGTGGCGATTGAAACTTAATTTGAAAACACAGTCTCGTACTTTGGTACCTTCGATCCGAATGAATGATGCATAAGACTGGTACTGAGAAGGACTTATTCCCTGATGAATACAAAACCCTAGCTAATCGATTAGGTATTCAATACATGATAGTTAATATCCAAACCTTGACTGCAATCGACTGAAAAATAAAAACAACATACGCGCCTACTAGAACAACATAACATCGCAAGGATGATACGCAAGGATGAAATTACAATTTCCATTAAGACCTGTTTACATTTTATTGTATTTCTATGACATGAATGTTCTAGATCCAGTTTATTAATTCACCAGTACATTGTTATTAACGCTAGATCCCAGGTGTCCTCATTTTTTAATAGGACTTGTTAACAGGACCCCTTGATATCGTACATTTAAAATACATTGAATAAAACAGTTTTCCTTCATCGCTTTTTGTGTCATTGCTGTATTTAACTCATTGTATCAATTCAATCACATGGCTCCGATTGTTTTACTCGACCACCTACTTACATGTGTTACTTATTTTTAGTTTTTCTTGACGTCAAAATATTTTCAGACAAATATTGATTGTTCGTCAATGATTAGTAGGATAAAAACTATTGACTAAACGATGGAACTAATTTCACGACTTTGAAACACTTGCTGACATTTAGCGGAGCAATTTATTACAGTAACTTGCAATATTATTTGGTTGCGTTGATTTTGTACATAAAATATTAATCTTGCTGTTTATAACAACAACTCAAATGATTTAACGCAAATAATGAGGTACATTACATAGCGTAGGTACAGTTGTACCTACGTACATAAGTTCCTAGTCAATTGTATCTATTATCTCTGCTTAAAGTTTTATCAAAAAGTAATTACATACAAGAACTCGTAATATTAATTCGCATCGAATTACTTCAAACAGTACGATAGCTAAATAAAAACTAAATAAACAAGTACGCATGTGTACTAGCTATGAAGTTATATTATGTACCTACAAGCAAACAAGAAAACAACGATTGTCGTGCGAATCTCCAGCTGTTTCGGACACCAATGTTACTAGGAGAACATACCCATGACTGTTACTCGTCGTTCGCGGCCTGGAATGTTCTTGTGCGAAATCGAGGAGGGGCGCGGGAGGAGGTGCGGTCGCTGCTGGGACCGGCTCGAGCGCAACGATGGCAGGCGCGGGTGCGGGCGGGCAGGGGGGAGCTACCGGCAGCGGCGACGTCGGCCGAACAACGCCGTTGCTGCGCGGCGTCACCGGTAGCCCTGTCACCACTCGCACCGACACCGGCGACTTCGGCTCTTCTTCTGTAAACAAAGGTGGTACGTCACAAGAAGTTAAATACCCACTTATCTATCTACTTCGGGTCATTTATTATGTACGATTACCAAAACATAATCAGAAATCCACTAAGATCCTATTAGAAAATGAGCGAGCCATCCTAGGTCGGTCAACACTTGTCAAACCCGTGTCAACCGCTCGTCGTCGGCTGCAGTCCGTGGCGGTAAACTACCAGGCGCACATAATTCGCAGGCGTTCAATAGAGCTGTGTGAGTGAAACAGCGATATCTCAATAAGTGGGACGGCATGTTACCACGTTACTTTCATATAGTGAGGGTACGCGATAGTGAACTTTAGTACTATGAGTTTAGAGTTTATAGTAGCGTAAGTCTATAGAAAATCAGTCACGCTGCAATGGCGAGTGAGACAGACGATCAGTTCGAGTGTAGTGAAAGAGATGGAAACGGGGGCGTGGTTTGACGATAAAATTACGTCAGCACATGTGGTTGCGCGCGTGCTTTCGGTTTGTTTGGCGTTAACAGTTGCCACGCCGAAAATCAGCTGCTCGCCGAGGTGCCAGAAAAAACAAGTCGCGTCGTAACCGGCCCGTAAAATGACTGGGCGTCTGCTACTACCAGATTGGGCAGACTTTATTTTGTTGAACATCGAAGCAAATGTCCGATTTTATGATACTTGTAAGTACATGTAAAAACATTCACATTTATATAGATAAAATTATTATCAAAAATTGGACGAATCGCTAAAAATAACGTGGCTATCGCTGTACGAACGTTTATTATGTCACGTCTCACGTCCGAGAGGTACGTCCGTAACAAAGTTGTTTTCGTTTATCTGACAGCTAATAGGTTACACACACATTCGAACATTGATGTTTTGCCCAAATTCATTTTACATTTTTATAGCCAGTGAATGAAAGCTACACACCATATTCCCCTGATTTTCTCTACAAGTTATTGGTACAAAAGTGTTGTTATCTACCAATAATAAATTACGCCGTATACATATTTCTCGTCACGATTTCCGACCATTTTCAAACGTCAATTGGATGACTAATTACTACTTAGACCTGAGTAACGACTTAGCGAGTATCGTCACCTTTTACATTCTTTGTAAGTACTTATTCTTATTATTCATTTGTAATTATTATTGCTTATCCCGACTACGCCATAGACCAATTAATCACATCTATTAATTTTCCAACAATAGTAAATCTAATAGTATTTCCTTAATGTTCACCAGAGGAAGCATTTATAGTTGCAACGCAGCGCAATGCACCAATAGAAAATATGCACGATGACTTAAGCGTAGCGGTGATTGCGTGGTCTTTGTCAACACTATATTATTACAGGCAAGATATTTATAGAAATCAATGTACATGTGTAAGTACGTGTAATAAAAACATCGCCTGCAATAGTTATTTAAAAGTTGATAACTTTATACTTAACCGAAACTAACTAAGCGATGATTAAATGTTAAAATTCTTTAAGATGAAACAGGCAAAGGGTTTCAAGATGAAAATACAATAAATCAGCATTTAAATGCCCTCCCATATTCATCACAATCACAAAGATGAGCAACTAAGTTGATTTCAATAATTGAACTACACGAGCCGCGCTCGGAATAATAGGAAAACATAAGACGTGTGTGGTTATTGACCGAGATCTTCAATACTATTCAATATGAATTGGAATTGTTGAACAGTGTCCTAGACGTGGCCTAGGAGTTTGCACTCGTGACTTTGACAAACATCCCGTCTTTATACAGCTGCTTTAAACAATAAAGTTAGATCAATGAGGCTTCTACGTACGGCTACTACACGCTATAATATAATCAGAGGTTATTAACAGTAACTGTGATACTCTTGAACTTCAAAAGCAAAGTTTTGTTTGTTAACAAAATTGTAGGAGTCAAATCCCTTAGTAAAAGTCGTTCGCTGACGGTTTTTGTTATTCGTTTCAACAGAAAATTAACACTTTCAAATAAAACACGTCCTTCTATAAATTGGAATTATGTTATTCCATTTGTTTTTCGATTTAAAATGCCATGGCCATGACCGTTAACTTGATTAAATGTTTAATTTCACTGAAGTCTGTAAACTTCAATTGGAAAAGGATGAATTGGAATCTTACTATTCGGTAAAATTGCCCATAATTTGTAAACTTAAGAATTAGGTACAGATAGCGTAGTAAATCATTTTCATTTTTACAGTAACTTCTAGACGATTACATAACATAACATCACGCCTTTTCATCCCCGAAAGGGTAGGCAGAGATGCACATTATAGCGCTTAATGCGACTGTACAATGTAACACCCACTTTTCACTTTTTATGTTATGAGTCCCATGTAATAGGGGTGACGATGTGTTCTAGACGATTCTTGAAGAATATTTCTATGTAAATGTGCTTGTAAACTTTCCTGGTCATAACTTCGCATAATCTGACCCCTTTAATTTAGGTTGTCGAAGTGGGTTAAAAGTCAATAGATATCAATATCATTGGACATTAGAACTGACTAGAATATTCTAGAAATACATAAAACTAATACATAAAGTAGCACTAATAAAAGAGGATACCTAACGACCATAAAAATGATTCCTAGAAAGCAACAGGACAATGACCAAACTATTGTAAAATATGTATGAAAAATACCAATATATACGAGATTGCAGCATAAATATTTAAAAGAATCTCTAACAGGACTATTGAACTTGAATATTACAATACTTTTGAGACAAATAGCATTTAACTATTCAATATTCTAATAGATGATTTCATAGCGTTAGGAATAAACGGGCAAAAAGTTGAAAACAATATTTTTTACATGGCGAATACATTTATTCATTCACGTCAGATTGATTTTAATTCAGCGAAGAAACAAAATTATAATTGTCGAAACAAGAATTGCTTTTGACGTAGGCCCCTTTTAAACCAGAGTTATATAACATTTATTATTCATGGATAAACAAACATTTAAATTGACAGGGTGTCCTGTGATCGAATTAAAGAAATGATGTAGGCTTATTGGTTGTCAATTACAGGTAGTACCAGGGCAGGATAAGCGCGTAGGTAGTGGCCGGGGAGGGGCACCAGTAACGTGCGTCATTGGCCTTCTGGTAACCTCACAGGGGGGATTGTTATTATAGGGTACAGACGCTGAGATTCGCCCTTGAGAACCTTTGGAAACTGAACAAAAAGTGACTTTGTCTCGGAGATGTCTGAGTTGACGTTTGCGTCGTAGCAAAATATTTTCTATTTTATTTTATAGGTACGAAAAGAAATCAGATATTTTTCTTTAAGTGACATCTTTCCTAATCAGGATTTGTTTCCATATTAAGAAGGTAGCTTTAGACCTACGTATATATCTATCTATAACTAGGTACTTATAGTACCTATACATTTAAACTTATGTTTCAACTGTATCTAATTTGTATCAAATAAAAATTACATTTATTCTAATCAAGAGAGAATATTTTTGCCAATATATCGCAAATATAGCAAAATTTCTCAATTTTAGGTTGTTAAAATTATTAGTATCGAAATAGAATCTGTACTCATGTCCTAAATTCAATAAAAAATCACAGTGAAAGCATTTCAACAAGACAAACATAAATCCACAGGTAGGTTAGGAACAGCTGAAACGCGAAATACAAGTAAGCTCCTACAGAATTATGTCCGCCTGGTAGAATTGCGCATGGCGGGCGCGCGCCTACAAGCACGAACACGCAAACACCGAACATCTCCCACGACGCGAGACACCCACACGTGCAAGTGAAACCGTGATTCCAGACACTAGCGAACCGGTATCGATGTTATGTGCATCTGTTGCTGATCCAAGACCGGTATTTAAAATACCAGCACCAAATAGGCGTTGTTTGCAGAATGTGACTTGCAAAGTGGTGATCAACTTCTGAGATCCGAATATTTTAATTTACTCTTTTGCATGTATTTATTTACTTGAGAAATGATATGTTCTTGAATATTCTTCTAAAGACGTATTTTATGGAATCTACATAACATTTTCATCTGATCTCAAAGGATTGCATAGTTTTTAATGTTATGAAAGAGATGCAGGTAAATGAAAAAGTCAGGGATCATGGTATAGAATAAGCACGTGTGTCTTAAGTAACGAAAACCGTTATATAACTCATACGAAAGGTACTTTTCTGGTGTTCAGAGAAGCTTTAAAAACGTAAAAGAGCAAACTTCAACAATAGAAAAAGTTGGAGCTTGGATTTCATTCTCCTTACTGCTATTAAACAGTTTTGAGTAACTTTGGAATAATGGCTGAATGGTTTCTTGAGTTGAGTTGGATCCGTAGATTTCGCAGTCTTACAAATTTCTTTTTGTCTAAAGTTTTCGTGTTTTACAAATTGGACTGTTGTTAACTTAGTTTCTAAGACAAATTCATAAAATTTGAACTTTTGTTTACACTTTTTAACCGCAAGGTACTTATATTGAAACATTAGAAACCTTTTATGAAGAGAACAACAAAGATAACATTTTTCTAGTAAAACAAACAACTAAAACAAGTTAGCAACTGAAATTGAATCTAGAAGAGAATATTAACTCGTCGAGTACCGGTTTTATAGACACAATTAACTCGTCGAGTACCGGTTTTATAGACACAATTAACTCGTCGAGTACCGGTTTTATAGACACAATTAAACAACAATGGGTCGCGGTCACCGGTGACCGCTTGGTATTTGACAGTTTAAAGAACAATGGGTCGCGGTCACCGGTGACCGCTTGGTGTTTGACAGTTTAATTACAATGAACACACCCAGGTCGAAACTAAATTAGACCACAAGCTATCAGAATTTTATTGGAAACCTAACTTCAGAGAAAACATGTTATCTGTACCCCGAAGGTGGTTATCATGATGTACCTAGCCGGGTGTTCACCCATATAGTCATTGTACTTGTGTGTGAGTATGTATCACCAGATAAGGTTGGCTGTCGAACAAAAGCGCTACGTGTAATAAATTGAATATAGAGTAGTGAGAGGG